AACAAGAAGCAAAGCTTGTCAAACAGTAAGCCTGTGTCTCCCGCTTGACAGCCTAGAGTTCTAACCGTTCAGGCAGCCGCTCCTCAACAGTTAGTTGTTTTAGAAATTACAGAATCTACAGACAGACACATGGACAGACAGACAGACAGAACGAACAAACAAATAACCAACCAGCTTTGAAGAGTTAAACACAAGGGCACGCACAGTTTCTTAGCATTATTCCTTTCTTCTCTCTCAGCTTTCATTCGTGTGTTCATAGGTACATCTCTGATTATGTTTTTTTTTCTCTTTTATAAAAAAGACTGGTCAACAAAAAGGCAGTGGTGATCAAACTAAGGAAATAAAGTAGGCTTGTGGTCTGGTCTGAGACAGGACTTACACAGTTTATAATCTATCTATAGGACTTGAAAGCATTTTTCATTAAGACTGGACATTTCTGCATGGCAAGATAGACACAGAGAAAGAGAGAGAGAGACAAGAGTACGACACAAACAAATAAATACACACACAAATACGCAGAGAGAGGGGAGAGAGAGAGAGAGAGAGCGATACATGCACCGTGTGGGATCCGGGGCTCCATTTGGGGGGGGGGGGGAAAACAAGAATAGACCCACTGCCTACCAGAAAGCATGTTGTAAGAGTCTACTAACTGGTAGCTTCCTTTGAAGTCGGAGTGCATCTGTCTGAGAGGCAAGGAACCAACAGTCTGCATTCAAGTGAATCAGATCCGTAAAACTGATGCACACGCAACACTCAGGTTCTGGAGCAGGACTGCGGTCCAGGTGTGGACGAACAACCAGAAATTTCCGCCAGAGTGTACATGCACACAAACACACACATACACATACATACATACATACATACATACATACATACATACATACATACATACATACATACATACATACATACATACATACATACATACATACATACATACATACATACATACATACATACATACATACATACATACATACATACATACATACATACATACATACATACATACATACATACATACATACATACATACATACATACATACATACATACATACATACATACATACATACATACATACATACATACATACATACATACATACATACATACATACATACATACATACATACATACATACATACATACATACATACATACATACATACATACATACATACATACATACATACATACATACATACATACATACATACATACATACATACATACAGTATCAAGCAGAAGCAGCAGGGACACTGATAGTCACGTGCCTGGAGCACCATGAACTAAACATGGACACTGATAGTCACGTGCTTAAAGCACCATGAACTAAACATGGACACCTATAGTGACGTGCCTGGAGCACTATGAACCAAACATGGACACCCATAATGACGTGACTGGAGCACTATGAACTAAACATGGACACGTATAATGACGTACCTGGAGCACTATGAACCAAACATGGACACCTATAGTGACGTGCCTGGAGCAGTATGAACCAAACATGGACTATGAACCAAACATGGACACCTACAGTGACGTGCCTGGAACCAGACATGGGCACATAAGCAAAGAGCATTAGAACCGGCAACTTACTTGTTGAAGAGAACAAAGTCAGGAACCCACACCTTGTCCGGCTTGATCCTAATGGACCCGATGTTACTGTAGAGGATGGGGTCCCATCGCAGCTGGTAGTCGTGCCAGTACTGGGGACACAACAATCGATATCACTGACCCCGCATGGACACGGTCAACCTACAGTATCAGTGCTGGACAATTTGCACGACGATTGAATAGATAATTTAATTTTCTAGAATTCTCAATTCACCCTTTTCCGTTCTCCTCCCTGTACCATGAGCCGCCATTAGAGGTCGGTAGACCGGAAGTCAGAACGTTTGTGCAAGCTACACCTCACATAATCCAGCCGAGCTAACAAGCTACACCTCACATAATCCACCCGAGCTAACAAGCTACACCTCACATAATCCACCCGAGCTAACAAGCTAAACCTCACATAATCCACCCGAGCTAACAAGCTACACCTCACATAATCCACTAGATATAACAAGCTACACCTCACATAATCCACCCGAGCTAACAAGCTACACCTCACATAATCCACTAGATATAACAAGCTACACCTCACATAATCCACCCGAGCTAACAAGCTACACCTCACATAATCCACCCGAGCTAACAAGCTACACCTCACATAATCCACCCGAGCTAACAAGCTACACCTCACATAATCCAGCTGAGCTAACCAGCTACACCTCACATAATCCACCCGAGCTAAAAAGCTACACCTCACATAATCCACCCGAGCTAACAAGCTACACCTCACATAATCCACTAGAGATAACAAGCTACACCTCACAAAATACATCCGAGCTAACAAGCTACACCTCACAAAATCCGCCCGAACTAACAAGCTACACCTCACATAATCCACGCGAGCTAACCAGCTACATTTCACAAAATCCACTTGAGCTAACAAGCTACACCTCACATAATCCACGCGAGCTAACCAGCTACATTTTACATGATCCATCCGAACTAACAAGCTACACCTCACATAATCCACCCAAACTAACAAGCTACATTTCACAAAATCCACTTGAGCTAACAAGCCACATTTTACATAATCCATCCGAACTAACAAGCTACACCTCACATAATCCACCCAAACTAACAAGCTACATTTCACAAAATCCACTTGAGCTAACAAACCACACCTCACATAATGCACCTGAGCTAACCAGCTACACCTCACATAATAGACTCGAGCTAACAAGCTACACCTCACATAATCCACCCGAGCTAATCAGCTACACCTCACATAATCCACCTGAGCTAACAAGCTACACCTTACATAATCCACCCGAGCTAACAAGCTACATTTCACATAATCCACCTGAGCTAACAAGCTGAACTTCACATATTCCACCCGAGCTAACAAGCTACATTTCACAAAATCCACCCGAGCTAACAAGCTACACCTCACATAATCCACTCGAGCTAACAAGCTACATTTCACATAATCCACCCGAGCTAACAAGCTGAACTTCACATATTCCACCCGAGCTAACAAGCTACATTTCACATAATCCACCCGAGCTAACAAGCTACACCTCACATAATCCACTCGAGCTAATAAGCCACACTTCACATAATCCACCCGAGCTAACAAGCTACATTTCACATAATCCACCCGAGCTAACAAGCTAAACTTCGCATAATCCACCCAAGCTAACAAGCGACATTTTACATAATCCCCCCCCCCCCCCGAATTAATAAGCCACAAGCGGTGACCAGGACCAGGGAAAACCCCAACAGCCGATCTCTCCCGCCTGACGTGACTGTCAGACACTGACTACGTACATCCTTTCAGTTTGTTGTGCACCGGTGCTAGATAGGTAGGTGCATCCTTTCAGTTTGTGGTGCACCGGTGCTAGAAAGGTAGGTGCATCCTTTTAGTTTGTGGTGCACCGGTGCTAGAAAAGTAGGTGCCTCCTTTTAGTTTGTGGTGCACCGGTGCTAGAAAAGTAGGTGCCTCCTTTTAGTTTGTGGTGCACCGGTGCTAGAAAGGTAGGTGCATCCTTTCAGTTTGTTGTGCACCATTGCTAATAGGTAGGTGCATCCTCTTAGTTTATGGTGCACTGGTGCTGGACAGTCGGACAGGGGGAGGGACTAGACCAGCTGTGACATATCTGGGGGAATGGGACAGGGGGATGGACTAGACCAGCTGTGACATATCGGGGCAAGTGGGACAGTGGGAGGGGCTAGACGAGCTGTAACATATCTGGGGAAGTCGGATAGGGGGAGGGACTAGACCAGCTGTGACGCATGTACAGGGTACAACAAAGCATGGTTGGGTAGCTAGGGGAGGGGGGGGGGGGGGCACACGATGTGAGGAAGGATTCATCAACATAGTTATAACAGAGAGGATAACAAGAAGAAAACGTCGATAATGATGTTGATGCCAAATGAGAAGGGAGAGGAATCAGTACAATTAGAAGAAATGTTTCTCTGTTATTGGTGTGTTGTTGAGTCATGTTCCAGTGATGTCTATGTGGGTGTATGTATGTATGTGAGTATATTCTTCTTTTTTTTTTCTTATTCTTCTTCGCGTTCACCAGCTGTAAACTCTAGCGGAAAGTTCTGGTTGTTCATCCACTTCTTGACTGCAGTCCTGTTCCAGAACATGAGTGTCGCATGAGCATCCGTTTTACATATGTGAGGCATTTGTATAAACGTGTCAGTGTGTGCAAAAAAAGTATGTTTATGTGAATGAATCCATTTGTCATTGTAAGCATAGGTACGTGTATGTGGCAATGTGAAGATCTGGGTGTGTGTGTATGTGGCAATGTGAAGATCTGGGTGTGTGTGTATGTGGCAATGTGAAGATCTGGGTGCGTGTATGTGGCAATGTGAAGATCTGGGTGTGTGTGTATGTGGCAATGTGAAGATCTGGGTGCGTGTATGTGGCAATGTGAAGATCTGGGTGTGTGTATATGTGGCAATGTGAAGATCTGGGTGTGTGTGTATGTGGCAATGTGAAGATCTGGGTACGTGTATGTGGCAATGTGTAGATCTGGGTGTGTGTATGTGGCAATGTGAAGATCTGGGTGCGTGTGTGTGGCAATGTGAAGATCTGGGTGCGTGTATGTGGCAATGTGAAGATCTGGGTGTGTGTATGTGGCAATGTGAAGATCTGGGTGTGTGTGTGTGTGGCAATGTGAAGATTTGGGTGTGTGTGTGTGGCAGTGTGAAGATCTGGATATGTGCAGACTTACCACTTGCAGCCACACGTTGGTTTTCATCACTTGGTTCACCTCGTCCTGTTGATTGACACACACACACATACAAAAATGTAAGTAAACACACAAACATGTGTAGTGTTCTCTGCAATACGGGTGACACCTGGGTATATAGTGTTCTCTGCAATACGGGTGACACCTGGGTATAAAGTCTTCTCTGCAATACGAGTGACACCTGGGTATATAGTGTTCTCTGCAATACGGGTGACACCTGGGTATAAAGTCTTCTCTGCAATACGGGTGACACCTGGGTATATAGTGTTCTCTGCAATACGGGTGACACCTGGGTATATAGTGTTCTCTGCAATACGGGTGACACCTGGGTATAAAGTCTTCTCTGCAATACGGGTGACACCTGGGTATATAGTGTTCTCTGCAATACGGGTGACACCTGAGTATATAGTGTTCTCTGCAATACGAGTGACACCTGGGTATAAAGTGTTCTCTGCAATACGGGTGACACCTGGGTATATAGTGTTCTCTGCAATACGGGTGACACCATTGTATATAGTGTTCTCTGCAATACGGGTGACACCTGGGTATATAGTGTTCTCTGCAATACGGGTGACACCTGGGTTTACAGTGTTCTCTGCAATACGGGTGACACTTGGGTATAACAACTTGATAGCACGCAGGTCTCAGTGATTATTAGAGTCTACGATTTACAGCGGCTCGCGGAATTTCACGCCTCGCCGTGGAATTAACTCACATGCTGCAGAATTAACTCAAATGCTGACAAATTAACCCAAATGCCGTCGAATTAACTAAAACGCTGCGAAATTAACCCAAATGCTGCGAAATTAACCCAAATGCTGCGAAATTAAACTAAATGCTGCAAAATTAACCCAAATACTGCGAAATTAACTCAAATGTTAAATTAACCCAAATGCTGCGAAATTAACCTAAATGCTGCAAAATTAACCCAAATACTGCGAAATTAACTCAAATGCTGCGAAATCAACCCAAATGCTGTCGAATTAACTCAAATGCTACGAAATTAACTTAAATGCTAATCATAAAACCACAAGCAAGGCAATGAAAGTTCAGTAAACATTGGACTGATACAGCCGGATACAGGAATTTTAGAGGACTTCTGTATTTGTCTGTTTCTGCTTTGATGAAATGCCATCTGTTCGTCTGTGTGTCGGCGTTTCCAGACTCACTTGGGGTTTTCTGAATGCTGGTTTATTGTTGAGGTGCCTGTGCCAGACAGCGGGGTTGGGTGCAAATCGCATTTGATGATTGCTATTTTGGCTGTTGTGCCTCTCTCTGCCTGTCACACATTTTCACATCCTGCTGAAATTATGTGATGCTGGTGATGGGAAGAATACAGGGTCATTGTGGAACACGTCTTTGGTGCAACTCTGGGTCTGGAGTTAATGAATAGTTTTGCATGAAGAGAGCAAAACCGAGAATGTTTTTGAAAGCAAGTAGATATCTGGAGCTACAAAGACGCGGCAGAGAAGAACGTCCAATATACACAATAGAACAATAACATAATAATGCCGGTTTCTGCATCCGGCTTCTTGGCAGGGGACTGATCCTGAGAGTCATACTGGCTTTCAAAGTGGCATATATTGGTCATGCATCGCTACTGAACTATGTATCATTGTTGCCATGGGAGTGACATATAACGGCCATGCATCGCTACTGAACTATATATCACTGTTGCTAAACAAGTGACATATAACGGCCATGCATCGCTACTGAACTATATATCATTGTTGCTAAAGAAGTGACATATAACGGCCATGCATCGCTACTGAACTATATATCATTGTTGCTAAAAAAGTGGCATATAACGGCCATGCATCGCTACTGAACTATATATCATTGTTGCTAAAGAAGTGGCATTTAATGGTCATGCATCGCTACTGAACTATATATCATTGTTGCCATGGAAGTGACATATAACGGCCATGCATCGCTACTGAACAATGTATCATTGTTGCTATAGAAGTGGCATATAACGGCCATGCATCGCTACTGAACTATATATCATTGTTGCTAAAGAAGTGGCATTTAATGGTCATGCATCGCTACTGAACTATATAACATTGTTGCCATGGAAGTGACATATAACTGCCATGCATCGCTACTAAACTATATATCATTGTTGCTAAAGAAGTGACATATAACGGCCATGCATCGCTACTGAACTATATATCATTGTTGCTAAAGAAGTGGCATTTAATGGTCATGCATCGCTACTGAACTATATATCATTGTTGCCATGGAAGTGACATATAACGGCCATGCATCGCTACTGAACTATATATCATTGTTGCTAAAGAAGTGACATATAACGGCCATGCATCGCTACCGAACTATATATCATTGTTGCTAAAGAAGTGGCATATAACGGCTATGCATCGCTACTGAACTATATATCATTGTTGCCATGGAAGTGACATATAATGGTCATGCATCGCTACTGAACTATATTTCATTGTTGCTAAAGAAGTGACATATAATGGTCATGCATCGCTACTGAACTATATATCATTGTTGCTAAAGAAGTGACATATAATGGTCATGCATCGCTACTGAACTATATATCATTGTTGCTAAAGAAGTGACATATAATGGTCATGCATCGCTACTGAACTATAAATCATTGTTGCTAAAGAAGTGACATATAATGGTCATGCATCGCTACTGAACTATATATCATTGTTGCTAAAGAAGTGACATATAATGGTCATGCATCGCTACTGAACTTTATATCATTGTTGCTAAAGAAGTGGCATATAACGGCCATGCATCGCTACTGAACTATATATCATTGTTGCTAAAAAAGTGACATATAACGGCCATGCATCGCTACTGAACAATGTATCATTGTTGCTATAGAAGTGACATATAATGGTCATGCATCGCTACTGAACTATATATCATTGTTGCTATAGAAGTGACATATAATGGTCATGCATCGCTACTGAACTATATATCATTGTTGCTAAAGAAGTGACATATAACGGCCATGCATCGCTACTGAACTATATATCATTGTTGCTAAAGAAGTGACATATAACGGCCATGCATCGCTACTGAACAATTTATTACTGTTGCCATGCAACCGATAAAAACGTCATGCGTTAGCAACTGCATGAACGCGCAATATACACCAGAGTACACTAAAAGGGTTCTAGTAACGAATTCGGGCACAGCTACATACTAGCTGACCTTTGACTCATGGTTGCTCAGGCTGGTCTACGAGTTAGGGTGATAGGATGTACTGTTTTCTTTGCTAAGCTTTCTGCGTGGCGTGTTAATCGTTGTTGTGTGAGCATCGGCCGCTGACATCGCGTTTTCACTCGTAAGCAGGAAAACATTGCTTCCACGAGTCGTACACTACACTCTCACGTGGGACACATGCAGAAGCTGTGGTGTAGGAGGTTGGGGTTAGGGCCAGTTCTAGATATCGCGTCGTTCACCGGTGATAGGACCCTGTCACGAAAACTAGCCTGCGCAAACATGAATAAAAAGTCAGCTAATGTGTAGCTAGGCTAGAATTCGTTATTAGAACCCACTAAAGGGTTAGGAGGATCCAGGTCTGTGGATGTTGTATCTCTCAGTCAGTGGAGAACACCAACTGTTTCTGCTTGAGAACTGTATCTAACCCTATATGTAATTGATAGGGTAAACGAGATGCACTCAGGTCGTAAGTCCTTGAATCAGAAATAGCATTCCACAGCCAAAACCTTTGTGCGTGACCGAGGACGCACAGGACACAACGGATCTAGAGAAGACAACATTGATATAAAAACAAACCCCAAGCCTAAGCTCGACCTACGTGCCAATGGGCTGAATGGCTGCGGATTATGCAGTCTGGTTGGCGGGAAGAGCGGCGCTAGGCATATGGACTTGTTCGGAAATCTCCTGCTTCTTCCCTGGCAGCTCAGGCAATATTAGTGTTACCGTTTACTTCCTGCATCGAACTTGTTTAGTGGATTTTATACTTGAAACATAATCACCCGAGCTACTTAGTTCGTTTTCTGTGCTTGTTACAGCAGCCTAACCCCATTTAATCACCCTAGAAGTCTGACTCACCCCGTCATTTTAACCTCCTGTGATCACCCTATCAGGCTGACTCCATGTAATCGCTCAACTCTCTGACCCCATGTAATCATCCTAAATGTATGATTTCCCATGTATTCACATTGGCTGTCTGACCCCCAAGTGCTCACCCTTGCTGTCTGATCCTAATTTACTCATTATAGTAATCTGACCCCATGTACTCATTATAGTGATCTGACCCCATGTACTCATTATAGTGATCTGACCCCATGTACTCACTATAGTGGTCTGAACCCATGTACTCACTATAGTGGTCTGAACCCATGTACTCACTATAGTGGTCTGAACCCATGTACTCACCCTAGCTGTCTGAACCCATGTACTCACTATAGTGGTCTGAAACCATGTACTCACCCTAGCTGTCTGAACCCATGTACTCACTATAGTGGTCTGAACCCATGTACTCACTATAGTGGTCTGAACCCATGTACTCAACCTAGCTGTCTGAACCCATGTACTCACTATAGTGGTCTGAAACCATGTACTCACCCTAGCTGTCTGAACCCATGTACTCACTATAGTGGTCTGAACCCATGTACTCACTATAGTGGTCTGAAACCATGTACTCACCCTAGCTGTCTGAACCCATGTAGTCACTATAGTGGTCTGAACCCATGTACTCACTATAGTGGTCTGAACCCATTTACTCACCCTAGCTGTCTGAACCCATGTACTCACTATAGTGGTCTGAACCCATATACTCACTATAGTTGTCTGAACCCATGTACTCACCCTAGCTGTCTGACCCCATGTACTCACCCTAGCTGTCTGACCCCATATACTCACCCTAGCTGTCTGACCCCATGTACTCACTATAGTGGTCTGAACCCATTTCATAACACTAACAAACTGATCCCTATCTACTCACGCTAACAAAGTGACCCCCCAGTACTCACCACATTAATGATCTGGCTAAGCGCCAGGTTAAAGCTGATGTTGAGAGAGTCGCTGGCGTTGACCACTGGTCTGATCAGCGGGTTGTAGAAGTTCTTATCAAACAGGTCATTGATAAGCCGGTTCTCACTCTCACCTGTGTGTACAAACACAAACATTATCAGCACAGTATGGCCACAGCGTGCATGAAACGACATGATAGGGATAATATGATCCTGTCATAACGGTCATTTATGATTGGTTCATATTTTCAGATGGTAAAATGAATGCTGGCCACACTGAGAATATCACACACAAGAATTAGCACAGACAAATAACACACAGGGATCAACACTCAATACATTTGCTTCTTAAAGCAAACAATTCAACACTTGATCTCTCTCACTAGATCTCTATCACTAGATCTCTATCACTAGATCTCTCTCACTAGATCTCTCTCACTAGATCTCTCTCACTAGATCTCTCTCACTAGATCTCTCTCACTAAATCTCTCTCACTAGATCTCTATCACTAGATCTCTATCACTAGATCTCTCTCACTAGATCTCTATCACTAGATCTCTATCACTAGATCTCTATCACTAGATCTCTATCACTAGATCTCTCTCACTAGATCTCTATCACTAGATCTCTATCACTAGATCTCTCTCACTAGATCTCTCTAAATAGATCTCTATCACTAGATCTCTATCACTAGATCTCTCTAAATAGATCTATGTCACTAGATCTCTCTCACTACATCCGTGTCACTAGATCTCTCTCACTAGATCTCTATCACATCATCTCTATCAATAGATCTATGTCACTAGATCTCTCTCACTAGATCTCTCTCACTAGATCTCTCTCACTAGATCTCTATCACTAGATCTCTCTCAATAGATCCCTCTAAATAGATCTATGTCACTAGATCTCTCTCACTACATCCGTGTCACTAAATCTCTCTTACAAGATCACTCTTACTACATCCGTGTCACTAGATCTTTCTCACTAGATCTCTGTCCCTAAATCTCACTCACTAGATCTATCTCGCTACATCCGTGTCACTAGATCTCTCTCACTAGATATCTATCATTAGATCTCTCTCAATAGATCTGTGTCACTAGATCTCTCTCACTACATCTCTCTCCCTAGATTTCTGTAATAGATCTCTCTCACTAGATCTCTCTCGCTACATCCGTGTCACTAGATCTCTCTCAGTCGACCTCTCACTAGATCTCTCTCACTATATCTCTGTCATTCGATCTCTCTCTCACTAAATCTCTCTTACTAGATATCGGTCACTAGATCTATCTCAATAGATCTCTGTCACTAGATCTCTTTCAATAGATCTCTCTCACTACATCCGTGTTACTAGATCTCTCTCACTACATACGAGTCACTAAACCTCTATCACTAGATCTCTCTCACTACATCCCTGTCACTAGATCTCTCTCACTAGATATCTCTCACTACATCCGTGTCACTAGATCCCTTTCACTAGATCTCTATCACTAGATCTCTCTTAATAGATCTCTATTATTAAATATATGTCACTAGATCTCTCTCACTACATCCGTGTCAATAGATCTCTCTCACTAGATCTGTGTCAATAGATCTCTCTCACTATATCTGTGTCACTAGATCTCTTTCACTAAATCTCTCTTATTAGATCTCTTTCACTAAATCTCTGTTACAAGATCTCTGTCACAAGATCTGTATCACTAGATCTCTTTCACGAGATCTCTGTCACTAGATACCTCTCACTAGATCTCCCTCACTAGATCTCTTTCACTAGATCTCCCTCACTAGATCTCTTTCACTAGATCTCTGTCATAGATCTCTCTCAATAGATCTCAGTCACTAGATTTCTCTCAAAAGATTTCTCTCACTAGATGTCTCTCACTAGATCTCTCCCACTAGATCTCTCTCACTCTATCTCTCTCACTACATCTCTCTTACTAGATCTCTGTCACTAGATCTCTCTCCATAGATCCCTGTCACTAGATCTCTCTCAATAGATCTTTGCTCTAGATCTCTCTAAATAGATCTCTGTCACTAGATCTCTCTCACTAGATCTCTCTGACTACATCCGTATCACTGGATCTTTCTCACTAGATCTCTCTCACTACATTTCTCTTACTAGATCTCTCTTCCTAGATCTCTATCACTAACTCTCTATCAATAGATATCTCTCAAAAGATCTATGTCACTAGATATCACTCACTACATCCGTGTCACTAGACCTCTCTCACTAGATCTCTATCACTAGATCTCTCTCAATAGATCTCTATCACTAGATCTCTCTCAATAGATCTCTGTCACTAGATCTCTCTCACTAGATCTCTCTTACTACATCTCTCTGACCAGATTTCTGTCACAGATCTCTCTCAATAGATCTCTGTCACTAGATCTCTCTCAATCGACCTCTCACTAGATCTCTCTCACTAGATCTCTCTCACTATATCTCTATCATTAGATCTCTCTCAATACATCTCTCTTTCTAGATATCGGTCACTAGATCTCTCTCAATAGATCTTTGTCACTAGATATCTTTCAATAGAATTCTCTCACTACATCCGTGTTACTAGATCTCTATCACTACATACGTGTCACTAAACCTCTCTCACTATATCTCTCTCACTAGATCTCTCTCACTACATCCCTGTCACTAGATCTTTCTCACTAGTTCTCTCTCACTACATCCGTGTCACTAGATCTCTCTCACTAGATCTCTATCACTAGTTCTCTCTTGATAGATCTCTCTCAATAGATCTATGTCACTAGATCTCTCTCACTACATCAGTGTCACTAGATCACTCTCACTAGATCTCTTTTACAAGTTCTCTCTCAATAGATCTCTCTCTCTACATCTGTGTCACAAGATCTCTCTTACTAGATCTCTCTCACTACATATCTCTGACTACATCTCTCTTACTAGATCTCTGTCATAGATCTCTCTCAATAGATCTCTTTCACTAGATCTCTCTCACTACATCTCTCTCACTACATCTCTCTTGCTAGATCTCTGTCACAGATCTCTCTCAATAGATCTCTGTCACTAAATCTCGCTCAATTGATTTCTCTCACTAGATCTCTCTCGCTACATCCGTGTCACTAGATCTCTCACACTAGATCTCTCACACTAGATCTCTCTCACTAGATCTCTCTCACTAGATCTCTCTCACTAGATCTCTCTCACTAGATCTCTCTCACTAGATCTCTCTCACTAGATATCGCTTACTAGATCTCTCTCACTAGATCTCTCTCAATAGATTTCTGTCACTAATTCTAACTCAATAGATATTTCTCACTACATCCATGTCACTAGATCTCTCTCTCTACATCCGTGTCACTAGATCTCTCTCACTAGATCTCTCTCACTACATCTCTCTCACTGTCACTAGATCTCTCTCACTAGATCTCTCTCACTAGATCTCTCTCACTACATCCGTGTCACTAGATCTCTCTCACTAGATCTCTCTCACTACATCCATGTCACTAGATCTCTCTCACTACATCCGTGTCACTAGATCTCTCTCACTAGATCTCTCTCACTACATCCGTGTCACTAGATCTCTATCACTAGTTCTCTCTCACTACATCCGTGTCACAAGACCTCTCTCACTAGATCTCTCTCAATAGATCTCTCTCAATAGATCTATGTCACTAGATCTCTCTCAATACATCTCTCTTACTAGATCTCTGTCATAGATCTCTCTGTCTCTTGAATTCTCTCACTAGACCTCTCTCATTAGATCGCTCTCACTAGGTCTCTCTCACTAGATCTCTCTAACTAGATCTCTCTCACTACATCTCTCTCACTAAATCTCTCTTGCTAGATCTCTGTCATGGATCTCTCTCACTAGATCTCTCTCACTAGATCTCTCTCACTACATCTCTCTCACTAGATCTCTGTCATAGGTCTCTCTCAATAGATCTCTGTCAATAGATCTCGCTCAATCGATTTCTCTCATTAGATCTCTCTCACTACATCCGTGTCACTAGATCTCTCTCACTGTATCTCTCTCACTGTATCTCTCTCACTAGATCTCTCTCTCTATATCCGTGTCACTAGATCTCTCTCACTAGATCTCTCTCACTACATCCGTGTCACTAGATCTCTCTCACTAGATCTCTCTCACTAGATCTCTCTCACTACATCCGTGTCACTAGATCTCTCTCACTAGATCTCTCTCACTAGATCTCTCTCACTACATCCGTGTCACTAGATCTCTCTCACTACATCCGTGTCACTAGATCTCTCTCACTAGATCTCTCTCACTACATCCGTGTCACTAGATCTCTCTCACTACATCCGTGTCACTAGATCTCTCTCACTAGATCTCTCTCACTAGATCTCTCTCACTACATCCGTGTCACTAGATCTCTCTCACTACATCCGTGTCACTAGATCTCTCTCACTAGATCTCTCTCACTACATCCGTGTCACTAGATCTCTCTCACTAGATCTCTCTCACTACATCCGTGTCACTAGATCTCTCTCAATAGATCTCTCTAAATAGATCTATATCACTAGATCTCTCTCACTACATCCGTGTCACTAAATCTCTCTCACTAGATCTCTCTCGCTACATCCGTGTCACTAGATCTCTCTCACTAGATCTCTATAACTAGATCTCTCTCAATAGATCTCTGTCACTAGATCTCTCTCACTACATCTCTCTCCCTAGATTTCTGTAATATATCTCTCTCACTAGATCTCTCTCGCTAGATCTCTCTCAGTCGACCTCTCATAGATCTCTGGTGTCACTAGATCTCTCTCAGTCGACCTCTCACTAGATCTCTCTCACTATATCTCTGTCATTCGATCTCTCTCACTACATCTCTCTTACTAGATATGGGTCACTAGATCTATCTCAATAGATCTCTGTCACTAGATCTCTTTCAATAGATCTCTCTCACTACATCCGTGTTACTCAATCTCTCTCACTACATACGAGTCACTAAACCTCTATCACTAGATCTCTCTCACTACATCCCTGACACTAGATCTCTCTCACTAGATATCTCTCACTACATCCGTGTCACTAGATCCCTTTCACTAGATCTCTATCACTAGATCTCTCCTAATAGATCTCTATTATTAAATATATGTCACTAGATCTCTCTCACTACATCCGTGTCAATAGATCTCTCTCACTAGATCTGTGTCAATAGATCTCTCTCACTATATCTGTGTCACTAGATCTCTTTCACCA